ATGATTCAAACTTGTGACCTTTCATCCATCAAACACATGTAATATGATGAAATCAAACTAAATTACATCACGTGGAAAATCCTTAATTAGTAGTGTAAGCTGGTATTTCATGGACTTAAGAGTGTAATATGAAGGATCTGAAATTACAATTTATCATCGAATAATATAAGATGCATTCACAGAGTATAACATAACCAGCACCTGTCTCATACCAGCAAAGGTTGCTTGGTTTATCGTAAAAATCGAAAATAACTCACAATAATTTCGTCAAAACTCATCAAAAGCGGATCGATTTTCACACTTAATATGTAACCCAATCATCCAAGTGTACTCATATACCAAAAAAGTGCTCATATATTAATGCATGTAAACAAAATGTGCAGAACCAAATGAGGTAGTTTGACAAGAAGACAGGGGCAGCCAGACAGACATGAAGAAAACCTAGTATCCATCTTACAGATATGGCACAAATGAAGAAGAATAGCACCGTTAGGCCTTCTCATACATAACTTATATGACTACTTAAGTTTGCAATGAATCTAGTCATTTTACTTTAAGAACTAACCAGTACAAAAGCAGAACGCATACATACCTTAGAAATATCAATATCCAACAACCTTAAATTTAAATAAAAGTGTTTGATTATTATTCTTAATTGTTAATTTGTAGCGAAGAAATTGAATGCCTTGAAAAAAGAAGCATTTTGAGAGTACAACATAAGCAATACCCGTCCTCTACCGGGAATTTTTATATTGCTCCACTCAAAAATTTAAAAAAATCGTAAATGTGCAACTCTGTCAAATATTATTTAAACGGGCAAAATGCATAGGCTGTCTATATAACTTATCAAAGTAGACTCACATACAGATCTCACTGTGGGACGCGGAGACAGTCCTTCACTTGAGTCCGTATAAACCAAGGTCACGTGTCGCAGTAGGAACAGGCACGAAAAAGATCCTTCAATGCTCAATGGCCCTAAATGCCGAGTTTTGGACAAAAATCTCTAGCTCTCCAACGGCAAAAGGTGGCGTGAGTAAAAAGTCTAGAGAGAGGGACGTTAACAACATACAAACAAACAAACTCACACATATTTACCAAAATTTCAGCTCATCTTGGATAAATGCAAACAAATTTGCGACAAAGCGTGATTGGATGATGAAAATTAGCAAGTATTTTTCAAATAAATTATGTCTAGACCAGGAAAAATTATTCAAAATAGGGGAAGGGTCTGAATGAAAGAACTGCAAGAACTGCAATTTCGCAGCAAATTCATGCGTTGTTCGCTCAGTGGTTACAAATATTGAAATAGTGTAGAGTTTATCAAGTCACACTTATCTATATCAGATATTGTTATAGGTGAGTTTAATTTGACTGCGTTTTACTGTGACATTTATGTGACAGCATTTATAATTCAGTGTTGATTCAAGTATGCCCAGTGAGACATGGATGGGATCATAAAAGAAATTCAAAACTTAACACAGAAAATGTGATTATACAAGGAATATTTTTCAAAAAGGAAAAAAAATGTATATTTTTATCCTAAGCAACTAAAAGTTAACTTTTATTCTATTTCGTGCATTAGTATCACACTGCATTTTAGAATAAATAAAGGAATCGACAGGAGAAATTTTCCTAAACATAATTTTCCTGATTTAATTTTAATTCAAAACGCTCAATCAAAAACTTTTAAGCCAAGCTAAAATGTATTTTAGATATCACGTTTTAAGGACATGACAAAACATAAAAAAAAAATATGATGAAATATGGAGTTAGCGAACAGTTTTCATGATCAAAAGTCCATAAAACAATACAAAATTGGAGCAGAGCAAACACGGTCCTCCGACACATCAAAGGTGGCTTCAGGTACCATGAAGGAGTGAGCATCCCCTGCCGACCGGTCAAATCTGCCGTGTGCTCCTCGTCATGATCGGGATATAATCCATCGTCAATTCAGTGTGTAAATAATGGACTATCGATTAGTATGAAAAACGTCAGACAGCATATGCATTTGACTCAATAATAAATTGTATTTGCAGACAAGGTAATTGTTTCAACCATAGAACTTACGAAATGGTGATCTTTAATGAGACTGCTGAAATTCTTGGTTCATCAACTTGTCAATAACTTACCTCTTTGTAGAAATTGTACATACAAAGAGCATGCTCTTGCGTATCGATTCAACTGAAAAATATAAACTCCGTATGCAGGTGATGAAGGTATATATATTGCAACATAAACAAGGGATGTTGGCGATTGAAAAGTTAAAGTATTCGCGTTTATCATCGAGCTTGGTTGTAAGATTACCATTAATGTCTTTTTCAAGTAAAATACCCAAATATGAAACAGATGTATCAGACTCTGTGATATCTTTAATTATCTCAAGCCCACCGGCATATATCGTACGGTCATAAAGAATGAAAATAACCATTGTTAATTGACAATACGTCATCGATATATCTAAATGTCTATTTGAAGGCTACAGCAAGTGTTTTCTTCTTTTCAAGCATAAGATTTTGGACAAATTCTGCTTCACATGAATACAAAAATAGGTCTGCTAATAACGGGGAGCAATTGGTACTCATGGGAATTCCAATAGATTGTTGGAGGACCTGATCACCAAAAACCACATAGATATTGTCAATCAGAAACTCAAGCATCTTTTTGATGTCAACTTTAGAGTACTTGTATGTACAATCAGAATGTTTTTAATCAATAAATTTTGCAAATGTCCAATGACAAGGTAAATAATTATCGTCACTAGTTCAATTTTATTGAAAAGCAGCTGTCAATGATATAAAAAACTCTGGACTTTAATTTATCTTGTTATGTACTGAACACAGAAGAAAAGTAAATTTTCAATTGGTCCCTCAATCGATAAATGTAAGATTTGTAACACACTTCTGATCTTTACATATAGACCAGAATAAAGAAGGAAAGGTAAACCATATACCTCTTTTTCCGTAGAAATATTTCTGTGGCCTTATAATATTCATAATAAATTTTCTGTTAGTGAATTTACTTTTTAATCACTGTTGACGTTTTATCTCCTATCGTTAACTAGCCTTATTATGAAATATTTTTAGAAAGAAATATATTTTATTGAAGCATCATCAATCTTAATTTTATAAAACCTGGGACATTTTACATTGCCTACTCAAAAATGGTATCTCAGGGGGATTTCTGAAAAATAAATGATATAATTTCAGAATTGCAACAATTGAAATATTAAATTTCTATAGAGGGAGATGTCCCATGATGTTTGTATTACAATATCTTCTAACCAATAAATACCCCCTAGCGTATCTACAGCCATAATAATCATAAAACGTGAATGGTTCAAATTATTTTCCAATCTTCGTCGTCTTATTTATTTTCATTTATCACTCATGTTCAGAAATGAGTAAATACTACATCCAAGTTTAGAAAGAATGTCAATCTTATCCTTTGTTGTATAATAGGATTGCATAATATTAAAGTATTATCAATAGCTTAAATATGAGGTAATTTACGTTTTTCATCGTTAGGGGAAATACTATCTCGCCACCAAAAAGTTTGTTCACTAATGAGGGAATAGACATTTGGCATTAAATGTGATTGATGTTTTAGAGATTTCTTCTACGTATATTCTTGCAAAATGTATTCATAAGAATAATAGTTTCAGAAAAAATGTATATTACACAAAATAATGATGTTTTAGCTGTAGTGCTGCTAATAAAGGTTAAATACACTAGATTTCAGCGTATTATTCGACAAATGCTATCATGTAAAAATGGTTAAAATGGCAAAGTGAAAGAAAGAATAATGAATAAATGCAACCAATACAGAAGATGTAATATTATTCTTGTTCCAGATTTCATTAAACAAGTTGTTTAAAAACACTTATTTTGCCTTTTATTGATCTGCTTTACTTCAGACATAGAAATGAAAAAGAAAAAATACTGTATTTCAACAAAGTCATCTCCATGAATTTCTTTTTTTGTTTATATTTTTTAACCTTCAAAGCAATTTTAGTGTCTCGGGATAAAATGTCGAAATAGGTTTTACTTGTTTTGATTTTATTCAAACAAGTATCTGATAAATAAATAGTGAAATGTTTAGCCAATTATATTAAATGTAAGATAGGGTCTCTCAGCTAAGAAGAAGCTATGTTTTAGAAATTGAACAAGGCCAGGCCCCTTCCTATCCTGTTGAAAACTTTCCCCCTTCAGTAGTTATCGTATTTTATCACACTCAAATAACAGTGTTGTTGTTCCACCTGTTCTGCATAAATAATCCGAATCATGTTGGAAAATTGAGTAAACATTTTTAAAGTACAAGTTAATAAAAAAAAATAATTTGAGATATCTATGAAAAACAAACATGTATTCAAACATGTCAGGAAAACGCTTGAAAATACTTCAAGCTTATATTAGCTTTGATACAACAACATCACAACGAACTGATCAGCGCATTTATATTACAGATATACGATTTTTTGTGATGATTGATTTTACCAAACATTGCAATGCCTAGTTTGGTTCAACGTCTTTTTCATTTATTACTAAAGCAATTTTTTATTCTTATTCTAATGTCATTAGAAAAGGTTGATTGATTTATATAAATATTTATCGAACTTTTTCTTCACCTGTGTGAGTGAAACTGCATGAAGAAGCCAATATATATATATATATATATATATATATATATATATATATATATATATATATATATATATATATATATATATATATATATATATATATATATATATCCTAAATGTCGGATCAGCATAGATACAAGGTTCTGGAAATTTATATAAAAACTAAAAATGAAAAATAGAAATTGTCAAATTTTTTCCCCTCATAAAGAAAGTTTTTTCATAAGAACAAAGGAAAAAGAGAAACAAAAACAACTAGCATACTACCAATATTTTTTTTTTACATAAATTTACATCTAATTTCAAAGTTCCATTATAAATTCTTGATTCACCTATTGCAAAAGAAACCATAATAAAGACTCACCTTAAAGCAGGTCTCAGAATAAAACGTTGAACATAGAATACGTCACAACATAGCGATTCTGCAGAATAAGAACAGATAAATTAACGATGAAGTGAAACCCGAAGACATCTTTCCAACGCATGAAAAAAATATTATGAGAGCTTTCTCTCTCTTTCTCTCAGTCGTTCTTGCTATAAAATGAATTATTGGCCCTCTAGCTGTCATCCCCCACACACTTTTAAGGGAGTGCCTAAGGGTCTAGCCACCAGAATTCGACGCATCTGTTCTCAGGAGCAAATTTGATCGACAAAAATGCGACAAGACTCTCAATTTAACAGAGTCATGTCTTCACATCCGCGGGCGGAAGGAACACCCTCTATCGACTAATTAGCGAGACCATCTTATATTAAGAGGAGTCAAACTAGCGCTCCAGGAAGTACAAAAATGGTTTAACGACATCTTTAGTTTCTTTGTCAACTTTCTGGAATATGTTGGGTCCTCTTAATTATGCATTTATGTCTATTTTTCCATTTTATTAATTTTTTTTAAATTTTATTCAACAGAAGAGAAAGGTTTATTATAACTCTGTAACATATCCTGTAAAATTTGATTTCAATCTCGGGAGATTAATTAATTTACCTCCTCAGCAATCTCCTGGATAGTCACATACAGGGTTTCCTTAACATGAAGTCAAGAACATCGGGAACCCTTCTTAAGCAAGTAATAGTCACATTTTGTTGAAAGTAAATTGCCGAAGCTCACCCTCCCCCCCCCCCCCCCCCCCCACACACACACACACACGAAATAGGATTTTCCTTCGGGCAAACAGCCCAATATTTTTTTTACATAAAGTCAACATTATAAAATATTGCAAAAGAAACCATAATAAAGACTCACTTGGTAGTGTTGTGCATTTAAGATCCGGAATACCATTTATATCGACTTTTGCTTTTGCCAAGGCTTATTAATTTTTCCTATACATCAGATTCTCGTGAATTCACCACAGTGGGTCGAACTAATTCAAACGAAATATCGAATTTTCCTGCTATCTATCAAAATTTAATGTAAAACAAGTCTGAAAATTGAGGAAGAAAATGGATTTACAACTGAGAGCTCTCTTTATTTAGTAAAGACCATAATCTATTTTTTAACTCCCCATCAATGGAATGTTCATTTCCCTGCTTTTCGTTAAGTTGTTAAAAAAAATTGCCTACTAATTTGGAAGTTAAGAATAAACATAACACAAATGAAATCTTAACTAAAAATAAACCATCATGTACCAATTTACTGAAAAAACTTAATAGTAACCTGACATAAAAATTCAGGATTGCAATGATGCATTCTGGTGTTCTAAACATGATGATGCACAAACGCATTCCAGGTTATAAACCCTCTGCTCACTCATATATAATGTTGCTTGAACCTTAATGATTTTCCAAAAGAAAAGTATTTTATAAGTAAAATACAAACAATTATAGCATAGCTTGCGGTGCAAAATTGGACAAAATAGACGCTTCAACTTGGTAAATTTATAAATGAAAAATAGACATTTATGTCTTTAAGAGTTATCTCTCTTATCAGAGTATCAATGTACAGTACCTTAAATCAACATTACACAGTTTTCATTCTGCAATTTATAACAGAAATTAAGATTCATTTGAAACTTTCTTGAAAAGTCGTTCGGGAAACAATATCTTTCAGTCTAGAAAGAAAAATATTTTTTAAGATTGAATTACTAGTACATGTACTTGCATCTGAGATGATACGTATTTCTCCAATTAATTTATTACAGTAATTATTTGCTTATATTTGAGTCTACAAATCGTTCGATTTTTAAAGCTTTTTTCCCGAATTAGAACATCAATGGTTCAAATCATTTAACGCATATATTAGTAAAATTAATGCATAAATCTAGAAGTATTTTTACCAAATTTTACTAAAGGACTTTTCTGTTCTTTAAGCTTTTGAAAAATTTTAAAACAAAAATTATTTGATTTGTATGTCTTATATTTCGCTTTCTCCTGCATCTATGTCCCTCGGATGAGACTTAAAAAAGCCAGGCCCCGTGCTCGATTGCCGTGTTTGTTTGTATGCTGTTTAACGTCCCTTTCGAGAATTTTTCACTTATATGGAGACCCCACCATTTGCCGACAGAGAGCTGCAAATTTTGTCCTATACTCGATACTTACGGTCATTGAGCAGTGAGGGATCTTTATTGTGCCAGCACCTACTGTGACACAGGAACTCGATTTATACGGTCTCATCCGAACAACCGGTCTGAAGGTCCAACATGGGATTCGAAACCGCGACATTGTAAGGATCAACTCCTTCGCGACTCTAGAGCAGATGCTCAATGGCCCTGAGTGCCGATTAAAGGTCAAAAGAAACACGCACGCTAACTCTCGATTCCCGCCTACATTTTGGAACCAATTAATTCAATATGAATAGCAATTTGGCCATAAAATATTTGTTTAATACAAAGAACAGTTCAATGGTATTTGATAAATCGTCCTAATACTAGCGCTAAACAGTAAATTATCCATAAATCCAGCTCTTGAAAAAAGGGGGGTAGACGATATTTTCCATTGAAATCGGAGTTTCAAGCATCACCGTATTTCAAAATAGTCTTGGATATGATTAAATGTTCCTTATATCTTTTCTTATGTTTTAGGCAAATAAATAAAACATAAATATTTCAACTAAATATGTTTCAGTTGTATATCGTTTTGAAATTGGTGGAAAATAAGCATTTTTATCGTTTTTTGTCAATAAACATATGTTCCACCCCGTGTCACACAAAAAGCTTTGGTATGAATTTGTGAAATAACATTCCATATTACCTGTAAAAAGGAATTTTTGTGACACGGGGGGGGGGGGGGGAAAAATTTTTAAAAATATTTTCCGTTTTCCATTGATTTCCATAGTGAAAAACACAAGTTTTACCAAAATTTTAGAGTTATCTCTCTTAGTTTTCCCAAATAAGTAATGTTTCATGAAAATCCATATAATTATCTATAAAAAGTATTAAAAAAATTCATCGAATATGTTAACTTTTGAAAATTGACTTGAAGGTAGGCGGGAGAACAATACTATCGTTCGCAGTTCTTTGAAGCCTTTCACCGACATATGGTCACGTCTCATATGAGTGAAAATTCTTCGAATGGAACGTAAAACAATATACAATCAATCAATTTCCTTTTCATATCTTTAAATTTTCCGATACTTAAGAACATGTTCTTTAACTTTCAATTTCAAAGTGAGAAACAGTGATTATAACAACCTCGTTTCAAGTCAGCACATTGTAAATTTAATGGGCTTAATATTGATCTTATTAGCAATTATTGTCATTATTATTTATTAGTGGGCCAAATTTTAGCTTGCATATATCATACCAATTAATAAAACGTTTTTGTTTCTTTATGCTAAATTCGACTCCAGGATGGTCTGTCTACCTGATTATTAGATAGGGACTACAGCGGGTATCACAAGTCAACAAGGGATGTTCTTTCCTCCTAGACATATAGTCCAACCTCTGGAATTTTAAAGGGTGAATGTTTTTACATGTACCCTATGCCTAGAACAGAATTGTAATAGATTTTTTCTATGACCTCTGTTTGTTTATTTTTATATTTTGCATTGGTTTAAGAGAGGGTTTTTTTTTTACCAACTACAATAATTTTTTGTTAAAGAATTCATTATGGCTGTCCGTTAATTTTTCACAATTTTAACACTCAAAAATGTGATTTGATGTTCTTTAATTTTGTGCAACAATCCCTGTTGATTTTTCATGCCCAAATGTAAAATAAACATCACATTAGTCAGTTTAATTTGTTATATTTAATATTCGCTGTGTTTTTCTATTAAGCAAACTGTGAAATTGGTTTGAAAGCCACTTTCGTGTATACTCACGCGTAGACATATACATGGAGAAATGTGCGGTTATGTGTTGCGCTCACAATGAGGCAACAGCGACGTTAGTAAAAATTCAACTATATATAATGCAGCGAGAAATTCAATGCTTTCAAACGTTTAAAATGTAAATAAAAGGAATGTTTTTAAGTTTTGTGTGGTTCATTGGCGTGTAACTCACACAAACTTGCACAAAGGAATATTTTTCATGAATCGCTAGTGCGCTTAATTAAATATGCCTACGTGACAAGTCTGTGTGATTTACACACCAATGAATCGCACCAAGCTTAAAAACGTTCCATGAAAATAAATATTTCCAAATAATTCTCCTTCTCATTCTATACAAATTAGAAAACTTTCAATTTCTCATGAACTTCCGTGGATGAGCAAGAATATCTCCATTGTGATGTAAATATATATAGCTATGAATTTGATCTTTGAAAATTCATGAGGTACATAAACAACAATGCTTTACAGGGATATATTACCATGAAGCGCTAATGCCATTTATTAAATATGCAGGCATGAAGCGTCGTAGTTCATGTCCTCAAGAATCTTCAAAAAATTCAATTCATTTGTTGAAAATCAAATATATGATAACGAACACTTATCAAAGTCCATTGTAATGAAACGAATCAGAAGCAGAGAAAAATTGGATCTACAAAAATATCGGGGATGAGATCGAGGAGTAAGCATCCTGATTCGGTCACACCCACCGTGCGCTCCTTGTCACGATCTTGAAGACATCTGACCATTCAGTGTGTAAATAATTGCCTAACAATGAGTATTAAATAAGTCAGTCACCGTTTGGATATTTTCTGCCGACAAGATTATTGAATCGAAATAGAACTTGCAAAATGAAGACTTTTAACGAGACTGTTGATTTCATTGTATCATCCATCGTTTCAGAAATTGTTCTTACGTCAAGGCATACCCTTGCTATTGAATCAAATAGGAGACATAAACACTATTTACAGGTGATAAGAGTTTATTGCCACATAAGTAAAGGAAGTTGACGATGGAAAAGTAGAAACCATCGTGTTTAACATAAAGGTATTTTTGTAAGGGAAACATTTACATATTTTTCTTTTAAAGTATTTAAAGATGAATTAGTACAACTTCATAGTACTTGTGTACATCCATAATATTAATGTTTATTTTTGCAAAATAACTTTGCCAATGTTCAATGACAATGTGAGTTAATTTACGAGTTTCACTTTTTATTGCAAAAGCAAAGACTGTAATGTCATAATACATTGATTATAATTTACCTAAAGGAATCTTTGGATCC